TTCCCTAACAGACTGATGAGGTCATGGAAAACTTAATGTTCCTCAAGGTTCTTCAAGTGGCTGCAGCATTCTGGCTTGGAATAAAAGTAAATATTGAAAACTCTACTGACAGGAGTTCCAGCAGACTTGGCAGAGGGGCACTGTGTCAGAAAAGAAGTCCACCGGTGTGTTTGTAATATTCAAGACATACCAGAGCTTTAAATAAAAGGTAATCTCCTCTTTGAAAGGAAGAAATGCTCCCTCCTGGATCACTATGTAGACTCCACTCTGCAAACTATTACCTCTCCATGTGCTACTAAGTCTTCATAGCAATATCAGCCAATGTCAGCAGTCCCAGCTTAAGGAGCATCACCCATACCTATGAATGAAGGAAGGTGTCTTTTCTGAGGATGTCTGAGGTCTGTGTGAAAAGCTACTGTTCCTCAACACCTTCTTCCTGGAAGGAACTGTGTGAGGAAATCACTACAAACTAGGTAGGATTGTTTTCTTCCCTTTCTCCCTCTTTGCATAGAAGAAAGTGATCAAAGCCACACATTTCTTTTTACACTTTACATATCTAGTTTCCAGCTCCCCAGAGACAAACTCAATAGCAAGGATATACTGTGAACCCTTGATTGGTTCAGTGATATTTGGACTGATGCATCCAAAACTAAAAAGAAGACCTGGCCAAATGAATTTCTGATAAATAATCAATCAAGAGTAGAGAACCAAGTGCCATTTCTTCTGTGGGCTATACAATGCCAGGAGTCACAGTTCTTTCTCAGTGCTTGAGAGTCTCTAATTAGCATAGCCCTACAGTGAGGACTATCATTTAAAAATTCCATCATTTGGGAATTAAAACTGCAGATTATTTTGTGAAGCATGGCCAAGATAAATCTTATTATTTAAAACAATCTTTGTAAGTATTGACAAATGTAATAAAATTTCAAATATGAAAGCAAAAGGGAAATTTTTACATTTCAATTCCAGCATTGTAAAGGAAACTCTTTCATGCTTAAAATTCAAACTCAGTGTGTCAAGTAATTTCACTGTTACAGACTTGAATTACCTGCGCTGGCCTGAGGGCATTATTCAGTCTCTGAGAAAAATTGTACTTTAATATTGCTATGATTTTCCCAAGTAATTTTTATGCAGAAACCAGGATGAATTTGAAACATCCATTTCAAGATTAAAGTGATGACATTTGGTGACTGCACAGAACCATGTAATTGAGAATTGGGCTTAGGGATGTGCCCAAAATTAAATATGGGAATGAGAAAACCATATAAACAAAAGGACCAATGTTTTGCCTTCTTTGCTTAACTTCTGGAATGCAGATATTAAATAGGGTTATAAAATACAAAGAAACCCTTACTTCAAAAATGTTTAGATGCATACACTATATTGAATACTTACACTATATAGAAAGACCATGAAATTGTTGGCCACTGTCCCAGCCCATTTAATTTCTGTCACATGCAGGAGGAAAGATAATCTCCCCACTCAGTTTTAATGGATCCATTTTTGGAAGCACTGAATTATTAATTTCTTTTAGGGGTTATCTGCTGCCTGATCATTTGTTAACTTCACATGAAGTTGGGGGCTGGTCCCAGAGCATGCTCTGAAGAGGTTTAACTCCACAATAGAGCCTGAAGTGAACTAAGGAGTTCCATCATTGACCTAGATATGGCAAGAATTTAATGTACAAATAAATGTTGTTACCCAAAAGTGTACACAAAAAACCTTTCAGCAGCCTGCTTCCAGGTGGAACTCTGGATAATTAGTTCTCTCATGAGCATATGGCTTTGAAGAAATGTGCAGATAGAAAAATTGATGCTTTTAAATAATTGATTCTACTAGTAAAATAGGGTAATGGGGAGTATCAATGTTTTTATTATTTAAATATCCTACTATTGTAGGATAGTAGATGAAAAATTTTACTATGTTAAAAAGTAGTAGGACTTATTAAAGAAAGCAAGTGAACAGATTCATTCTTTTTTGAAGACTTCCCAGATTAGCTGTTTTACTATTCATACCAAGGTGGGGCCAATTCATTACAAAATCAACCATAAATGTTGGTGTCTTGACTCACTACTTTCAAGGTAAGTAGGTGTCTAGAAAATTTTCTTTAACTCTCTCAGAATCACACTACCGGGTTTTTCATTATAGTAAAATACTCATTAACTAAGTACAATGAGGTTCAGGAGTAATTGTTGAGCACTGAGGGAATTTATCTAGTAATTGATAGAGGCAAGGGGAACACGAATGAGAGAGTTTAACAACTGAAGTGGGGATAATGCAGGTTCACATGAGTACTAGCCCTCATGCACCAAATCCAATGTCATTCTTAAATTCTTGCTCTGTGTGCCACTGAAGGCTGAAAACATCACTGAGAATAAGAAGCAACAACTATTTTGATGAATGAAATATGAAAAATCAGCCAAGACAGAAGCTAATTAGTTTCCTCTTTTATCTGCACTGGGTTTTTTGCACAAAGGCCTCCTTCCAGAACTACTATCCTCATTTTTAACAGATAACACTAGAAAGATTCACCAATGACTGGTCTTCTAAAAACACAGTAAGAAATCAATCAGTGAACCTCACTGAGGGGAAATCTACCACATAACCTAGGCATACTGTGCTGTTGCTCACCGCAGTAGGAGCAATTTAAAGCCACAAGAAGTAATTGTGACCTAACTGTGCATGATCCACTGCCTACTGAAGTCAATACAAATATTTAATTTCACTAAATCACATATTAGATTCCAGCCACTAAAGAACCTAATAGCAACCCAACTATTCCAGCCACTAAAGAATCAGTAGTAACCAAACTATTATACCACAGGATACAATAAAACAGTACAATGTCAAAATTTCCAGTTGTGATAATCTATCATAATATTAGCAGAAATTAACTCAGTGTGTTTTCTCTTTTAGCTAAATCTCCTCTATGAAAATTATTTCAATGTTTCAATTTTTCTGCTAAGCTTTTACTTACCTTAATAAAGATTTATTTCTATTGTTTTTCCTCTTCTTGCTACTGAAATGCAGCCCTGATGATTCTATCACTAAGTGGCTGAGTTGGTCTGAAGTTATCTCCTAGGATTCCATCACAGCCCTCTAAAAGTTCTGCACCTTTGACATGTGTCCTCAGTCTACGAAATTCCTCTATCTGAAAGGCAGAAAAATAGACGTGAAAAAGCTGAGATACGTTCTTCACTGTGGGACTAATTATCAAAATCAGCCTTACCCACCCACTTGTGCAGCTTTGAAACTTGGAGTGTTCAGGTACCATATACAAAAGCCAATATACATCATTAGTAACATTTTAAAATAATTGTCAGCACTGTCAAAACATCTAACATAGACAGAAAAATAAGAATTTTTATGCATATGGTTTTGCTTTTTTGTAACTTCTTTTGGGATCTGTAACCTTCTTTGCCATTGTAGATTACATCCTACTAATCAACCTCACAGTTGTGACATTAGAGTAATGATTCTGTTCTTCTTCAAAGAAGTGCATTTCAGGAATAACTTGGTCAACCATAAATTGGTTTGAACTTTTACAGCGATTTATTTATTGCTTGAAATTGTTGTTTCATTTAAATAAAAATTATCTTCTAAACCAGGAAAATTCTTAACAGACTCTCAGCTTTAGAGGAAGTCTGTTGACATTTTCTATGGAAAAATACGGTTTTTTATATCAAAACAAAATACCACTTCAAAATTTCTGTAAGTGTAGGTGCTAAGCGTACTTAGAAAATCAAATACAGTCAAAAAACAATACAAAACATTTCAATTGGTACAATACAAGCATGTTTTCAGTTTATAGACTCTTTTTAGATTTTTCTAAATCTAATCTTTTTTTAGGGAAGAATATCAGAAGCTTCCATCTCCATCCCTAGTATCAGAATCAAGCTCTGTGTGATAAAAAACTAAGAAAATTAATGTGTATCTCAGCAATGTTATACCTTATTGTTCAAAAGTGCTGGTTTTTAAGAGTCTGATATTTTAAATAAGTCATTATAACTACTAAAAAAAAAGTGTTCATTGTTGCTTGGGCATATTTACAAGCTACTTAGCTGGATACAGCAAACCTACTAGCAAGCTGACTCCCCTAGCCTGAGCCTTTGTACTGTACTGACCCTGCGTTTCCTCACTATCCAGCTCAGCTGTAACTTGAAACTGAAGCTACAGAGAAAGCAAAATGGAGCCTGAAGTATTTAATCATTTTATCATCTAAGAAATTATAGAGTGAATTTCTCTATGAAAAATACCCTCAAGGGATTACAGGGAGAATGCAAGTGTGATTCCAGAATTAAAAGAAATTAGGTACTAAACAGCAAGTAATGGCATTTTTATTCTTATATTGCCTGTGGACAATACATTCTTACTGCAACCTTGAAGACAACTGCCTTTATTGTTGTTTTCCACTCTACAGCAGAATTGATATAGACTTATTTACTTGATTTAGAGGCTAGCCCTGCTCTGCTGTATTTTCCTCAAAAAATAGTGTGCTTAGAAAACAACACTCAGCTTCTTGCAGCTGAGATAGAAGGCAACAGCTTAGACTGAAAAGATGAAAAGCAGAAGAAACTGTAAAGCTCCTTTCAGTGCTTTTAGAGGCAGAACTCTGTTTTGGAAGATTTTGTTTGTTTGTTTGTTTGTTTGTTTGTTTAAAGCAAACTGAAAACAAACCCACTACAGGCTTGGAACTGAAAAAGTCTTCAGGAGTCAAGTGCTGGTAAATCACTGAATGGGTTTTGTAAAGGTACCCTCTTTCACCATCTGTATCAACTATGGAAAGTCTGAAATAATTGTCGTTTAGGAAGGAATGTTTTACAAGAATGTGGCTTTTGTTTGATCTTTTGAGAATGAGAGACTTCAAACAAACACAGATGAAGGAGAGGGATGAGCAGACTCTCTGCAAAGCTGGCAATTGTGAGCTGTCTCCCACAATAACTACAAATGCTCTGCCCCAATTCCCATAGTGAAATCTTTCTCTGGGAGGTACTCCTTACAATGCAAGTTTCAGTTTCTTCAGTCAGGAAACTAGGCCTGACTTGATCCCTGTGCCCACTCTTTGGTCTTCAGGGAAGTCAAGAATTACAGCCCTACTCCAAGAGGGAATTGCTTCTGAGCCCACCAGCCTCCTTGTTCGGTTTTTTCTATCGTGGTTCAGATCTCCATGACAGAGATCCTCTGTATCCATGGTGGTCTGCCTCATTCTTGAGGAGTAGTTGTCAGAAAAGGACACTACCTGTGCTGATGCTACTTTTCAAATTAAATGTCTATATGATAAGGCAATAGTATGTGTGCCCTACTCATCCTGCTTCCTCCAATTTACTATCATTTACTATCTCCTCCCAGCCTCTCACAAGTCATTGCTGTGAAGTACACCCTTGTAGGCTTGCCAAGGAAATGGGTATTTCAGAGGCACACAGCTAAGCACCTTTGGATATTAATATATTTTCAACAGGAATAACCATTTATAGAAGTTTTTCTCATGCCCAGAAGACATTAAGGATGACCCAGGCCTGTTCACACCAAAATTCAGGATCCAATTCTAATCAATCAAAGAGTAAATACATAATGTTAGCAATTCTACTGAGTAAAAACAAAGTTAGTTTATATTTTGTGGAATTTTACAGGCACATTTTAACCACTTCCCTGTATTCAGATCCTGAATACTGCTTTTTTCTGTTTCACTTAAAAATTTGTTGAAGAATATAACACACAAAAGAAAGAATTTTCATGTTTTCTCTACAAACATTTATTCTATATGAGGAATAGAAGCATTATTCTTATGTTTGAAAATTTTACATGCCTCCATGACACCTTCCAAGAACACAGACCTGTTTCCCAGTGAACAGAATACCGTGAACCTCTCAGAGAGCTTTATTTCACAAACTACATAAATTTTGCACAATTCCCACTCCAGCTCCATATGCTCATTATTATTTCTGTTCTTTAGGAGGTCTTGATTTTGAATGAGGTAGACAAAAGGACTAGAGACCTCGCCGTTCAATACAAACCCAGTTAAGTCTGACAACCGGCACAGAAGGACGACAGCTCCTTGCTGCATCATTGTTTAAAATCCCTACTCTGAGTGGCTTAGACAATGTACTTGTTCTGGGCTTCAGTGAACCACAAAGCACATTACTCACAAATGTCCAGTTTTAAAAAAATATAGTGGAGAGAAGCATGAACAAATCTTTTTCAATTATTTCCTGCTTTTTATTGGCCTAATGGGGGAAGTTCTCTATTTTCTCCCTCTGCATTTCAGCAGAGTACACGCATGGGAGAGGTGTCTCACAAAAGCAGTCAACACAATTATTTCTGGGCTGTATATTTCAACATAAGACAAGTCAGGATGATAAAAACCACAAAAGGATGGCAGGAATATGCAAAAAGAGCACTGCAGGGTGCAGCTTTCCAGGCAAGCTCCTTTCCACTGAGGTCAGTAATAAATCTCACAAGAACCAGATTTGCAAAGCCCTTATTCTCCATGGGAGAAGGGTTGACTGCACAATTTATCTAGACCTCACAGGACCACCCATGAAGGAAATGGGTCTCTGATGGAAATGAAGCCTCATGCCAAAGAAAACGACTTCCAGTGAGGAAACAGCATTGGACTCCAGGAAAGCACATCCTGATGCTGCAGTCCTGGTTTACTCTTTTGCTGCTCATATAACGAACACATTCAGATCCCAGCTGTTGAAGTAAGGTGCATCTAGAGGTTAATCTCTCTTCACTTAACACTGTGAATGTTGATATGAATAGATCAGCAGCAAATCAACTCATCAGTAGAACTGTACTGTCTATAAATGTCTTCAGGAGAAATAGAAAAAGGTTCTCTACTTTGCAATGGTCAGCCTATTACACCTATGCCAAAATAGTTACTTCTCTATTGTCTCAAAATAAGCAAATGTGAAAATATATAGATGTGATCATGAACTAGAATTCAGAATTTATTATTTTTTTCCCCTTATGATTCACAGTTTGTTAAGCTAATCAATATTGCTATGTTAATTACAGAAATGGGAATGTGAAATAGTATCTTGTCTAGCTTCATCAGAGGAAGGCAATAAAACCTATTCCATATCAGACTCTGTCATTCTTTATTGTTACTTGTCATTGACACTTAGAAGTTGATTATTTTATGGCCTGAAAAACAAAGACAGAAAGCCTTGAACTTGTCTCTTACTCACTATAACCACAGATGCTACTAGCATTTATACAAAATGCTTGAAGTTTCATAAGCTGTACTCAGTTGTATCCCATATAAGAAAGTTCCACAAGTTAACGACACATGTAAAAATGAAGTATTTAAATCCATTAGAAATGCATTTGCACTGAAATCTATGCTTCAATACTACAAGCAGGCTTAATAAAATTAAATGCCTTTACCAGCCTTCCATGGATAAAGAATGGTATATGCTACACTACATCATCTTATTTTCCACAGAAAAAAGCCCTTGCATTTCTAATCCTTCCTTAAACAGAATCTCTCACAAGCAGTCATGGCTACATGCATAAAAGAGGCCAGATATCTAATTGCCACCAAAATTACAAGTTAAAATCTTGGTTGTCTATAACAAAATATTCTGGTACCCCCCTAAATCTTATTTTGGGTACCTTGGAGAACTCTCAATCCCTTTTGACTCTAGAATCCCAGAATCACTGTCTCTCACTTACTTGTCACCATAGTTATTTTTAGTTGACATCTGAAAGTGGTATCTGATGCAAGTAAAATTTTTATCCCACTTTGGCAAAAGTCCTTTATGTTCTAAATAAGTCTTTTCTGCACAACCTTAACTTTAATGCTGCTGCATTTATAACTAGCAGTGAAGGATTTTTAATAATTGATGCTGATCTACAAGAAGTACAAAGTATTGAGGATCGTATTGCCATAAGTCAGCTCCAATCTCTCACCCTGCTCCAGTGCCACGTCTCACCTGCATACTGTGTTAGTGGCAGGGAGAGAGCTCCTCCATGACTGGTGCATCCTTCGTCACTGCAATGTTCTTGTTGGATTGGGTCTATAGCAATCAAAGTAATGCAGCAACACAAACCAGCTCCCCCTCACCTAAGAAGGCCATGGTTATGAATCACACTCTTTTCCCCAGGCACTATGTGTCACTCTTTTCCCCAGACACAATATTGTCTTCTGAAGACATATCTGCTTCACATCATGTTCCAAAATCTCGTTTTCTTGTGGTAAATGAGCACATAATAATATTAACAGAAGTTGCATTTCTTTGTTTAATTCCTCTTTCATTCACCAACTCACCATCTCCCACCACATGTGGATGGCTTGAACTGTACCCTCCTCTGTGCATTGACTGGATTAAAAGGGAATAGAGACTACAAAATCTGCAACTAGCATGAAATAAAATATCATACAATGTATCAGTATAATAGCTATGGTCTGTATACTTCTGATTAAGTCCTCTTATTTATCCATATCATATCCGGACAATTAGCTGCCAAGTTACAAAATGCACTCTGTCTTTAAAAGTTATTCTGAATCTAATAATGCCAACAGAGTTCTGTTTCCATTTACTCAGTAGTAAGCAACCATGAGACTTATCCTTTCATAAGCAAATAAATAGCAGATTCATGAGGGGGCACATTCAAGTTGCAGCTATCATACAAATAAGCTCATTGGGAGCTACTGCTTTTATCCTATAACTGGAACCAGAATTCAGTTCTCATATGAAAAAAAAACCTGCCAATTTCAAATTGTTAAAATATTGTGCTGGGATTACTAGCAAAAATTTAGATTATTAAAGCTGAAATAATTTTAATCTGAATTTATCACCTTTTATACTTTTTTCCTTCTGTTTGCACATGCTTCAGAGCAGGCAATGAAAATTAACACATTCAGCTTCAGGGATTCTAGACAGTTTCACTGAAATTAAGCCCACATTCCTCCATCTGGGATTCACAGACTGTGATAGAACATTCATCAGGAGTTTTCATTGTTTTTACTGGGATTATTTGTAGGCAGATTTGAAATGTTTTCTATAGAAAGACTCACATGGCTTTTAGATATATTTTTTTTTAAAAAACCACTTTAAAATACATACGTGTGAAATAAAATTTAAATAGGTAGTTTCCATTTGACATTTATTATAAAACAGAATTTAAAAAGAGCAAGATAAGTTAAATTTAGCTCAATGCAATAATATAGCTAGTCTGTACTATGTTAACATTTTTCATTCTCCAGGATATAGTGTCTCCCTGTGCTTTTTTGTTCCTTTAACATCAAAAAGCAGTGATATTTGAAAGCTCACAATTACAAAGAGTTGAATTTCTTTTGCCCATTGACTTCTTTCTTTCTTTCCTTTTCTTTCACTTAAATAAAGAATTATTTTAAATGCAGATGATAAATGATAAGGTTTTTCATCTCTGACCTTTGCATTGCTTTCAGTGACTCAAAAGGCTTAACCTTTACTTGAAAAGCCATGTACTGATCTAATGGGATCTTCAAGAAGAACAGATATAATGTCCTGATACATATATTTACACGCTATAACCTTTAGCATGTAACCATATTCCAAGGTCACTTTAAACACAGCTGTTACCTGCACTTGGGACACAGTCAAAGGATAACGAAATAATATCCAGGTGACACCTTCACTGCAGGGTGGAATGGTTAGAGAGCCCTCATATACCCAGTAGTCACGCAGAAGAGGATCTAAAATTAAAAGAAACATGGAATTTTAATGACATTAAGGAAGATAATTGGCTTGCTCATATGATGAAGTTAGTATGCAGTAAGCTAAGATGTGAATTTATAACCTGCCAAATACTGTCCACTACTTTCTTTCTCACATGAACATACATGAGCTTGTGGTCATTATATTACAGTAACTTTCCCCCACAGATGTGTATTTTAAAGATGAAAATGTCACTTTATAGATGTGAAAAATAACATGTGCACAACTCCTTAAACTAACACAGCAAATAAGTAATATGGTGGGAAAGAACTGTTAGTGTCAAAAGCTGTAAGAGACATCCCATTTTGAAGGCTGGGGTGGTCAAATTTTAACTGACTTCTACATTTAGGATATGTCTCAAGGATGAATTCATTTCTTTTTTTTTTTTTTAATTCAGTGAAAACAGCTCAAGCCAAATTTTGCAGTTCACAATTCTGATGATATATTTTTTGAAACACACTGGTGTCTTCTAGCTTTGGAAAAGCGAGTTGAATTTCACAGGGGAAAAAAACAAGGTTTATTTAAGAATAAATATTTTAATAAGTTTATAAATTTATTAATGTTTTTATAAATAACTGTTAGAATAAACAGTTGCCTCTGAAGAAAATGTTTGTCCAAGCAGAGTTTTAACTCTACATATATGTTTGATATTATTTTAATTTTAATTCTCCAGAGATTACTGTCACACCACCTTTCATAAGTGAGACTACACAAGGCTGCACTCCTCTGCTGTAGGCCATACTCACAAATGACTCCCTGACACAGTTTAAGTATGTATAGGAAACCACCGCACTGAAAAGAGGGGACAAGAAACAAACCTTGAGAGGAACTGGAGACAAAGGCTGGTTAATCATGGCACGGAGAGTTAGGGGGAAGGTTGTGATTAGCCTGACAAGGACAGGATGGGAGTTTGGAAACTGGAATAAACTGGCTTGGTTGATCTAACTTGTTACTGCCATTTCACTACCAGCTCAGAAGAATATCAGTAGAATTAATTTTTTCTAATGAAGTCTGTGATTGTCAGTGAGTGGATTTTGTTTGGTTGCTGTAATTTTCTTTCTCAGTTAGGGAATTACACAGAATCCATTGAAAGCAAGTTGCATTGTCAAACACTCAAAAGTTAAGAACTGCAAGAATTAATTCAGCCCGTCTTGTGCATGCATTGTGACATTGTCTTGTTACATGATCACATATGCCTTTTCTGGAGAACCTTTCATCATTTACTTGCAAAGATGGATGATTTTCTCTTGAAAAGCATCTAATAACATTTGTATTTCTCAGTACAGGATGTGGTCCTTGGTCTTTTTCTCATGCTATTCAAATCCTGCTTGTTCAAAGGACCACATTTTCTCATTTTTCATATTTTTAATGCACTCATTTCTTCAGTGTCTGAGTGCTTCACAAACAAGAATTAACTTATCCTTCCAACATCCCAGTGTGGTGGGGAAGGACAGATTACTCCCATACTTTAAAGCTGGGGCACTGAGGCACAGAGAAGTTAAGGTCAAATGCATCTACTCATTTGAGGTGTTCAATATGAGATGCTTAGAACCTGATTTCTCAGAGTAGTTAACTTTCTATAGCACTTAATGCAGTCAGAGCACTGCTCCCATTGACTTCAGTTGGAGGTGTAAGCACTCAGCACTTCTGCAAATCAGACCCCATGATCTCAAGTCGGGCACCTAGAAAATGAGGAACACGTAGTTAGAGATGACTTATGAAAATTTTGGTTTATGTGACTTGATTAGCATCAGACAGGAACTGTGAAGCAGGAGTCCTGTAAAAAATAACTTACAGTCACGCAATTAAAAGATGTTTTACAATGCATATGCTTGAAGAGGCACAGGCAGCCTTAATTCTTGCAATTCCTAATAGTTGAGCACTTGACTTTGCAACCTAAACAATATTCTTTTGATATAATTAATATAGTATAATGTAGACCTGGATTACTTTGGAGAACTGAATATCTTGCCACTATGACTTGGAATTTAGCTCAGAAGGATTCCTTTCAGAAAGATTCATCTTGTAGAATGCATTTTTTGAAAAGCCACATTTTTTTTCAAGACAAGGCAGAGGAAGTGGTTGCTTCCTACTCTTTCTCTTTAACTTTCAGCTATATGCATTTGAATTTGCCTCCCATTGTGACTACTCCTTGTATGCTATACAACTGATTGCATTATGGCATCGCCTTTTGATGCTATCAAAAAGCAACCTTGGTAAGTGGGTAACCTTAAGCTTCTTATTTTATGCCAAAGTAGAGAAAGGAGTACATACAGCTGTGGGAGTAGGTGGGATGATAAATCTTGATGATAAATCATGAAGAAAGCTAGCCACGGTGTTGCCAGCAGTGTATGGACTACAGCATCACATCCCACTCATACACTGAAGGTGCAGATTTATCATAAACTCCAAAGGGACTTCATCCCTCCCCTTGTTAGCACCACTAGGTGCAAAATGCATTATCACCTTATGGGACACATTCTTAGGTTTGCAGTCAGGCTATGCTTTAGATCAAGACTGCCTCTGCAATTAGCTAGTAATCCACCCACACAAAAGTAAGCAAAGGCACCTACCTGGCAATAAAGAGTTGGGATTAAAACAGGGTATTGTTTTGGACTTTCCCTGGAAAAATGAATACAAATTAATCTTATCTCTAGTTTCATATTAAAATGATGATGAACAGAAAGGTAAAACGCACTGTGTCTTCTCATAACATTAAGCCTTGAATTCCTGTGCAACACAACTTCATTAATAGCCCCCATTTAATCATCATTGCATTTGTCCTTGCAGCTACGTAACCAGGTTTTTTTATTCTATTTTATATTTTAATTCTAAGGTTATCTCAGCAATTTGTTAACTTTCTGCCATTAGCACCTGGGCTCCTTCTAGGTCCTAGCCTTGAAATTCTCTACATGAAATCCAGGGGTTCCACACAAAATGAGTTTAAAAAACAAGGGCCAAAATGGGCTTTTCCTTGACCAATGCGGATAATGCTTAATGAAATAAAGCTGGTTCCACATATTTAATGCAAGAAAATTTTATGTATGCCAAAAGTATATTTGATGCTGCCCCTCTGAAAGTCATTAGTATAACACGTTCACAATGACAAGGCCTTTCATGACCTTCCTCTACTTGGCTGTCAGTTTCAATAATGAAACTACAGAGTTTCATACAGTATTGTTTTCTCTGACACCTTCATAAACAATGAGCTTATAATATTAAACATCGTGACTAAAGTTTGGCATATATTATTTGACTAAAATAAGATTTTCAATTCCCTTCTAATGACAGCTACTCATTTTTCTACAGTTCAGCATCCACTGAAGTGAATGGCTAATCTCTTCACACCAATACACAGAATCACAGAATCACAGAATGTTGGGGATTGGAAGGGACCTCGAAAGATCATCTAGTCCAATACCCTGCCGGAGCAGGAACACCTAGATGAGATCACATAGAAAGGTGTCCAGGCAGGTTCTGAATGTCTCCAGAGAAGGAGACTCCACAACCTCCCTGGGCAGCCTGTTCCAGGGCTCTGTCACCCTCACTGTAAAGTAGTTTTTTCTCAAGTTTAAGCGGAACCTCCTGTCTTCCAGCTTGCACCCATTACCCCTTGTCCTATCATTGGACATCACTGAGAAGAGCCTGGCTCTGTCCTCATGACATTCGCCCTTAACATATTTGTAAATATTAATGAGGTCTCCCCTCAGTCTTTTCCAAGCTAAAGAGACCCAGCTCCCTCAGCCTTTCCTCATAAGGGAGATGCTCCACTCCCTTAATCATCTTGGTGGCTCTGTATTGGATTCTCTCAAGCAGTTCCCTATCCTTCTTGAACTGTGGGGCCCAGAACTGGACACAATACATCTCATTAATACATCACAAAATTCTTTAAAATCAAAGGTAAGTATGATTATGTCTGTGTTACAGACAGAGACCATGAAGCAGAGAGATGGAACTAACTTGCCCAAGGTCATTTAAAATAGCATCAACATTCTGTAGAGCACTCATATCTCCTCAGTCTTGCTAGGCTTATTGTCCGTCCTTCAGGACCCCCACAAATAATCCATGTGACAAGGCAGCATTATGTTTTTGCTGATCTCCCACTGCAAATTAATACAGGTCCTAAATTAATCTATTCTTTTCCTCTACAAATTACAAGGAGGTAACTCTAAAGGCGCTGCTGCTGGTGGTGTTCACTAAGCATGTTGCAGTGCTTGCATTCATACTGCTTTCATGATAATGACTGCAATCCATTACTTGATATAGAAGATCAAACCTTCTGGCCATCAGAAAGGGAAATGACTATACAGATTTCATATTATCTGAAAGTACAGTAAAATGCTGAGCTTCTGATGCAGGTGACCAAACTATGGCTTTTACACATGCTTTTACCACAGATGCATCTGAAACCCTTCACTTGGCTTCAGTGTTTCATAGATACCCTTCACTCTCTCACTCTCTCTCTGGTCAGTGAAGGAAAACAATGCCTTACCTTGTACTGGATGTCCTGGAGAATTTCAGTTACAGCCTTTAGGCCTACATGCTCTTTTCCTATCTGAAATACAGCAAGGAAAGACGAGTTTCAGTATTTTGCTATTTCTGAAACTGTGAGGTAAGACAGAAATCAACCAGAACAGTAAGTTCTGTAGTTGTTTTAGCTAAGCTACACAACCTTGTGTTAACCAAATACACTGATACATGGCAACCCCAAACAATTAAATCACTATAAAGCCACCAGTCAAAAGTAATCAAGGTGTAAATAATTTTAAAAGAGACAGAAACTCACAGAACAAGAGAAAGAGTCACCGCTAAGTCTGGTAGCTTTTACTAACTCTGTTTTGCAGCATATACTGCATCTGGAGTCAAAATCATACGGCATTATGGCATATAAATGCCAAGGATACAGTTAGTCAGAAAAGGACACAGAAAGGAACAGAGTGAAAAAGCACAACAGACACTTTTTGAATTTGTTCCCACAGCACCGCAAATCTGGTCCAAGGTATCTCTGAAGCTCGGTGTAATTTTTTTCCTGTCTGCAGAGCGCAGAATGGCAGATCCCCTCCCTTATGGCATCTCTAGGATCCTGCTCCCAGCAGTCTGCAGCACTGCCTTTACCAAGTGCCTTTAAGGCAAAGAAGATGGAGCTTTCAAAAGAAACTTATTGTTGAAATATGAGATTCTTATTTTACATGAACGTTGTTCACTCTGCACACTGATTTCAGCTGCTTCTGATCTAAGTCACCCATCCTAAGACCCTAGCTTTTATCTTCAGAACAACACTGTCAAAACAGGAAGACTCAGAACAGCCTTCCACGTGATTTCTCTTCCAGTATGTACACATACAAGGTAAGGAATGAAGCAGGCATGAGTGAGAAGGGGAGAGCTGAACTCTGAAAAAATTGTTTGCTTTTTGTTTCTCTTGGAATAGAATGGCACAGCAGTCACTGGAAAGTAACAACTGAGTGTCAACAAAAGGTACTGTTATTTCTAGGAATTTAAGAGGATTTCCTCTTGTTTCAGAATGGGATTTCTATTTAAAACCTTTGAAGGGTGTAGAAGATCTTGAAATCACTTCAAAGACGATGTTTCTAAATTAATAATCACCAAGTGACTTAAATCAGTGAAAATATTTTCACTGACTTTAAAATGACGTTTTTAGAACTGTGGTGCAAAAACATTGTATTTCCATGCCTTTTACAGGAAAAAATGATCACCAAATTTCCTCTCCCTGTTCCTGAAATAAACAGCATAAATACTATTTTTCCTTGGTCAGTTGTAATTATATAATGCCTTTCTTGGATCATGAAAAGTCCCTTTAGAATGCTTAAGAATTTTGATGAAGGTGAGAGACCAGAAATGGAAAATGTATAATTGAAGTTTTGGATTTATTTAAGAACTTATATATAACTTTCTAACTAACTCAAAGGTTACCTCTGCTGGAATTAGAAGGTGACTTACATAAGCAATTATCACATAGCCCTCTAGGATACAAAACTGAAGACTTTCTAACTTCCATTTTTAGCAGTTCTATCTGAGTCTTGGAGCTGTAACTGATGTACCTTTAAATTCAAACAGAGGTAAAGCTCAAAGGCATTCATAAACTTGTTATGGAATATGACAAATTAGTAATATCACTGTGAAAGAAAATCCATTTTATCTAAGCATGAACTCTAAACCTCTTCCTCCAAATCCATTTAAATAAGTTTGCCATTTTGCAGCAGAATGAGAATCTGGCGTTTGAGGACACTGAAAATCCTCTTTATAGGGTGCAGCCTTTGAAAAACTTTCAACAGCAATTAGATTATGGGGCTAACTTCCAGGCTGCATTACACTTTCTCCCCAGCAAGCTTTAAGCCTCCTCGTTGCAGGCTTTTCTGAGTGTCTGTGGCAAGACTCACTCAGTCTGGTGTCTCTGAAGAAGTAGTATGACCCCACCTCACATTTGTCCTGTATGAAGAAACACACTTGTCCCTGTGTTCGGAAAAGCACAATCCTACTAGCAGTTTTCAGCTATGCCAATGCGTTAGTGGGCTTTTTTCCCCTCTTTCCTCCTCTCCTGTCTGTATTTCCTCAATCCTCAAAGAGCAGACCTGGCCAGGAATGGAGAAAAACACATTACACAGAGAGTGAAGTACTTATACCTCCTGACAGCCCTCATTCTGCCCTCAGAGGAATGGAGAGTGGATGTCTGCTTACAGCCAGGGTCATGGAGAAATGGCTGACTATGTATACCCCTTCTTTAACGAACATATTTCCAACATCCTGTTTAAACAAGAATTACCTACTTAGCCCATACACAGAAGACATGACTGAGAAGTATCTTTTGAATAATACCAGCAGTCATACATTTTTTTTAATTTTATAAAAACATTAAAAATGAAAGAAAATGGAGAGGAATTCATTTTCCTCAGACAAATGATAGTATATGGACACAAGTGCAACACAGGAAACTTACCTGCACAAACAAAGCAATAATAGCTATGCCGTGCTTCTTCCCTACTGCCTCATCAATGCTGCTGTACAGTGTGGAGTTCCAGTGCATTAGATGAAGCTAAAACAAAGCAGTGCAAATAGACCAATAGAGACATATGTTTTGTTATTAAAAAACATCAGCAGTTAACACCAATTAACAAAGCCTCAGCATGTGTGTGTGTTCATGCATGAAAATACATATGTGCATGCCTATCACTGTACGTGTATATATAAGTGGATTCCTATTATAAGCATCAGGAACCCCAAGGAAAAACAGGTCAGTTGCAAAGAAAGTGATGTATAGCCAGCTACCAAATATCTACAACAAAGGTGTAAGTAACTATGCTAATGACGATAATGATTTACCAACTCCCTCACTTTTAATACTGAAATAACAGCTAATGAAACCCTCCAATGTTGCTTCTCAGCCAGCCAGCTCTCTTCCAAGGCAGCAGTATGATTATGGACATAGGTTGTCCAAACACACGTTGGACTGGCTGACTGTACTATCTTAATGTCAATTGTCTCACATATCACCTCCCAAGATGAGTCACTCAAATGTCAGTAGTAGGAGTAGGAAAAGTGATTTCAGGAAAGGTTAAACAGAGAAAGTCGAGCACAGAAAAATGGCTGGAGGACCACCTTAGGGACAGCAGTGAAAGGGATGCTGAAGCATAAAATATGAGCCCTCAGCTGCCATCTTCCACAAGGCAGCAGGGCTTGTAGGAGTTAATGCATGAATATATGTCAGGCAGCAGGCATTCGACAGTAAACATGAAGTCTGTTCTGGTGAGGTGTCACAACATGATTTGGGAAGTGTTGTTTCAGAAAAGCACTAGAAGACAGACCAGCAGATAGTTGGAAAGGAAGGAACGGAGGGGAGGGAGAGGAAGGAGAGGGGTGGGAAGGGAGATGAGGGGAAGAGGAAAAAAAGAAAAGTGATGGAAGACTGACAGTTGGAAAGAGAAAGAGAGAGAAAGGGAGGAAAGAAGGAAGGAAGGAAGGAAGGAAGGAAGGAAGGAAGGAAGGAAGGAAGGAAGGAAGGAAGGAAGGAAGGAAGGAAGGAGGGCATGGAGGGACAGCGCTATCTACTGAGAGGGAATATGCATTTCAAACATGAGTTTTTCCAGCACTAATGCTATAATGTAATATCTGTGGCTGGGACTGATAACATTGCAGAGCTCCAGCATCCTAAGCACAGCTGCTTTGAAGTTTATCTGCCAACAACTTTTGCACATTCCACATAGATAAAACAGCTAAAAAAAACCCACAAACTCTTAGATTTAATTCCCATTGTAAAATCATGATCAAAGTTTTGCTCAGTCAAATATCTAAGAAGTTAAAATGTCATCCTGTTATCTAACATTGTTTCCACCTTCAGCGAAATTAGTTTTTAAAACAGATAGTGTGTCTTCCTATTCTGTGTTTCATTTCTGCCCAGTAATGGCCTCTGTGAAATGCTTATTGCTCCTTACACAGCAGGAGTTCACTTAGGCATCTTAGCATTTCAGAACATCAGTTCCTCAAGCAATCACTCTCCCCTTATTTAACCTCAAATGAGAATTTCGGGCCCTCCTCTTGATGACTGTAATTTCAAAAGTCGATATAAAATTTTAAATTAACATACTGCAAATCAAATTAAATTCCAAATTATCATACAAATAATTTTATTCATGCTGATCAAAGGCATCTGCTGCGGTAAAAACATTAAAACTTTTTCTTAAAAAATATAATCATTCATTTTCACATGAGAACACTAAACAAATGTGCTTGCCCACGGCTGCAAAACTTCTAGACATACAAATGCTCCCTGTTAGAACTAAGCTATCTCACTATCGTCAACGGATTTACTTGGTGCCATGCATTTTATCATCTTTCAAAAGCTTTGTTCCATATTTTATTTGCCTTTGGCTTTTAAAGTAACAAAACCACAAGATCAAAGAATGGGATTTCAGTTTCCAACGCTCACTTTAGCAGACACAGAACTACCACCACCCAAGATAAATACAAAGCATTGCATTTTCCGAGACGAGCCAGGCGTTTGCATCAGCTACCCACTAGAGGGGGCACACGGAGCCCCACGAGCCTCACCAAAATCCTGAAGGATTAAGAAGGGGAAAGAACGCAGTTGGGGTGACTGCAGCCGGGATGGCAATGTCCTTGGTGCAGTGAGAACACGGCACCGCGACTCGGTTGGTTGGCAATGTCAAAGCAAGCTTGTCCTTTGGTGGCTGGAACAATAGCGCCGAGGGCGATCGCCAAATGTAAAGAGACCATGACTTTGACTGTGTCAACAGGCGGGTCTTGGCTAAAGCTGCCGTGGCATTCAGCGTGTTACGCTCCTTTGGAGGTGAAATCTAATCTGACATTCGCCTGCATTCTGACAACAGTGGTTTTTTTCTGAAGATTTGAAAGGAAAGTGCTGATCCCCAGCAAGAGGTAAATGAGCAAGTGCTTCAGATGATACCAGCAATGACTCCTGTTTATCAGAAACAGGTTGTTGTCCTGTCTTAAGCAGCAGGCTCATCAGGCCAGAGGCTTTCACATGATAAGGTGATATAACAGCTAGAAAAATGACACCAAAACTTCTGTGTAATACTATAATACATTAAGAGGTCTAGAATTAGTCTGTGTAGCAGCATAAGCAGCCTGACAGGAAGACATGCTGCAAAATACACTTAGCTGCTGCATGAAAGGGGGGGCCACAGTGCAAAACGCCCTGCAGCTGGAACTGCTTTCCAATGAACATAACTACTGGCCAGCACTTCTTCCCACATCTCCAGGGGACATGGGGAGAGTGAGTTTAGTATTAGCTATGCATTTTAAGAGCATCTTCAGGTCTCTGCATCCCCTCCAGGCCTTCATCCTTTCCCCTAGATCAACAGAAGTCAGGACAGTATACTTAAAAAAAAAAACATAAAAGAAAGACAAAAAAGGGATGTACTTAAGGCTAATGTAGACATCCCTAGACTAGGTTCAGGGTTAGTAATCAACATTACTAAAGGTACTGAAATGGGCACTCAACACTTCTGGTCCAAAGGTTTCTGTAACTTTGAGATTCTGCTTAAGGATGCTTTAAATACACAGTAAGTTACTTGGAACAAGAATCATGATTTTGTACTAGGTTGCTAAAGCCTAAGGTAGAACAGACTTTTGATCTGTGTTTAAGATGCTACTGTGTTACTTCCTTAGAGGTGCTGATAATTACAGCAGATAAGTAATCTGCTTTTTACATAGCAGGTCGTAGACTTGGTGTCACAAACACTGTGGTGTCAAACTAGTATCAGCAGGTTCATAAACAGATTAGACAAGTTATGGATAAAAACAGACACTAAAGAGAACAGGTAGAGATGCTGCCTCTAGAACTCCTAGTCCTGTGATAGTAGGTGACTGGGGAGTACAACAAAAAGTGGTCAGGCTCATGTGCTCTCCCTGTACAGCATCCCTTACTGCCACTGCTAGGGACAACATACTGGACGGACTGCTGGCCTGATCCAGCAGCATATTTATTATGTTCCCATGTTCTGAATCAAGGTGATACTCGGAACAGCTACTCACAAAAAAGGTTCTGTCATTAGGGATTTACAAACTGAAATTAGACAGGGAACCTAATGGAAAATAATAATTAATACCATAATATTTCCTAACAAAAGGCCTCACATCTTTTGCTCTAACTTTGATAAGCCCATGCATGCACGTTTAAATAAATAAATGAATGTCAACATGCACTTAAATAAATGGAAGTCAAATCAAATGAATTCTTCTACAGAGCAGAAAAAGCGTAGCTCAGATGGAGGCTGGGTAAGTACATGAAAAAGTGATTCAAAAAGGGAAATATTAGCAAGGAAATAGTAAGGCCTGAGTGTTTGTAGCAAAGTGTTGCTTTCAAATCATGGTTTATCCTGTGTGTTCATGTGGTTCTCTGGAGCTGTTCTGCCTTTTGTTTGCTCTTTTTTTATTTGTAGTATGACATCAGATGAAAACATCAGATAACAGTTAAAAAAAAAGATAGCAAAAAGTCTACAAACATTACAAAATTTGAACTCTAGAGAGTACAGTCCCACAAACACCACAGCCTGTAACTCTTGATAATATTTATGAGAATCGGATGTGCACACAAAGATTCTAGTGATTTTACAAATTTTGAAACTGTTAATATAACATAATGCCTCTGTACATTCACAACTTCATACCCATGCATCTGTAGCTTACAAGCAGCAATAGCCAAAGAGGCTTATTAGGTCAACACTCTGTATTTCGGTAACCTTCAGTTTTACATTGATTTGAGACAGCTACATAAAAAGTGCATACTCACAAGGAGTGCCAGTCTCCAATATGAACACAACCATGTGGGGTTTTTAAATAATCAGCTGCACTGTATTGGCAGCTTACTGTTGTGTGGTTTTCATTCAGAGTATAAACAAGCTGCACATGTCAGTACAACAGGAGAGGCTCTGCTCAACTTGTTAGCTAATAGTTTTGATACTTGGTAGTTATGATAGTTCTATACAACCAAAATGAGTCAGCCATGCTACTACCGGTTATTGGTGGCTGGCTTGGCATGCCAGGCAGTACATTTTTACAAAATAATCAGAAAGCTGTGAGAAACTCCTTAGCACTCAAAAAATAATTTTTTCTCTTGGCTAAAAAAAATAATTTGGAGCATTTTAACATTCCAGCTGCAAATCAAAGAATTGTAGCAGTTACTTCCTTAAAATCAGATAAACTGAAAACTCATGAAGGAAGATTATTAAAGTGCTGATAACCTTGATTTGTTCTGTGAACAGCTGGAGAGATTGTCCTTCACAGGGAAGATTAAAAAATTTTTCCAGGTAGCAGAGCAAACCCTGCAGAAGGATTATTCTGTATGGCACAAATGCTGAGAATCTTCTGAATCTTCATCCAGTCCCCATTCAACCAAAAGAATACTGATCCCAGTCCTAATGTCATTGCTTAGGAAAAGCTGAACCTGACATTAACACGGGGCCTCTCCCAAATCAACACTTTCTCAAAACGGAGTAAGGACCTGAGATCCTGGCTTTAAAAATCAATAAACAAATGGAAACCTTACACTTAAAT